AAAAGTTATAGTCAAAATAGAGACCGTTACGAATTTTCAAAAAAAATGGAAGTGGTTCTCGGCCTATTTCAGTAAAATGCAAATTATTCAGCCTAAATTAATTTTAAAATCATTGTTTATCACCAAATTAAAGCTCACAGTTTGAGCTACCAGAATAAGTACTGACTTTTTCTTGAATTAGTTTCCTGGCAGAGGAAATCCAATTAACCGTTATCGAATTTCACCGTTTATTGCTCTTCTTTGCAGATGATTTGGTATATATTTTTTCCGTCACAGAACTACTTAACAAGCTCTGATTTACACATAGATAGATCGTTTGAGATGCCATTCATCCCATGCAACCAAAAATAAATTTTCAAAGTTAGACTAAATGGGCATAAAACTGCTCACAAAATAAGCGCCACAACGTTTTTCAAAAAATCAAAGAAACATTTTCCCATCCAAACATGAAAAAATGGGACATTTTGTAGAGAATTCTCTTCTCTGTCTGATAGTATAGTAACACAGTGGTTGAAGACTCATCGAGCAAAACAAATCTCCTCATGTTATAAAACAACAAAGTGCTCTTGACTAATTACAGCATGTACAAATGTTAATTTAATATGCTATTTCTCGGTTTAATGGTGAAGAATTATCGGCAAAGAGTTTTCGTTTGTGTTGATGAATCAGATCAGAGTATATTTCGATATTGTAGAAACCAGAAGTATTTTCATCGCTTTTTCGAATGGAGGATGATAAATTCTCTTTCAGTCTACTTTTCAACGAGATATTTGCAAATTTTTCATTAGTTTCAGAAACACAGCTGATTAGATTTAATTAATAATTTTCTGATACTGAACCAATTTCCCCATTTTGTTGGAAAGCATTTTTTGAAACAACACTCAGCTATCTGCAAATTCACATTACAGGATATCTGTGCAGTTTTCATGAAGACTCAAACGAAAGGAGCTTTTACTCGCATAGAACTAAGTTAACAGGAGGTCAGTTAACGATGAGATCAGTTAGATAAGTCCATTGCGATAATTTTCTATATTCTCTGAAGAAATGAATCAGCTCTTAAGTTCAGAACTCACTGAAAACATGTTTATTAACAATAGAGATTCGACGACCTGTTATTCCATGCTCGCTTAATTCCTTGTATCTTCTCTTTCGATATATTATTCTTGGATATATTAAGTGCTATCAATGTTTTATTTATCTTCAATGCTTCAGCGATCGCCATTGCGCCTTGATCCGATATATTATTCTTGTATATCCAAAGCTGAGTCAATGTTTTATTTATCTTCAATGCTTCAGCGATCGCCATTGTGCCTTGATCCGATATATTATTCTTGTATGCCCAAAGCTTAGTCAATGTTTCATTTATCTTCAATGCTTCAGCGATCGCCATTGCGCCTTGATCCGATATATTATTCTTGTATGCCCAAAGCTTAGTCAATGTTTCATTTATCTTCAATGCTTCAGCGATCGCCATTGCGCCTTGATCCGATATATTATTCTCGTGTATCCAAAGATACGTCAATGTTTTATTTATCTTCAATGCTTCAGCGATTGCCATTGTGTCTTCTTTCGATGCTAGTTTACCACTAAGATCCAAAACGTCCACCTGCCCTAATTTTAGATTGTCAACAGTTGTTTCAATATCTTTGGATAATGGCTTTTTGTCATCTTTATATGCAGATGTTGTCGTTGTTTCTGGATGTTGCCAGTTATCTTTGGGTGTTGTATCAATGCTGGTTGTCTTTGCTTGCACTGTAAAAGAAAGTGGCACTTTTGCCCCAGTGGTTTTATTTCCTCTAGAGTTAAGTAATGGCTCCTGTTTGTGCATCACATGAGTTAGAATAATTTCTTGCTTTAACTTATGGCAAACCATATTTTCATCTGGGTTTGGTATGTTGTTTATCTATTGCTTTCTGCAGAAACATCTGTCTACGTATGATTTCTCATAAAAAAGCAGTATTCTTCTGTGTTACTTCTCACTACATATAGTGATAAATGTTTCCTTCGTTCTAGTAAGAGCAAAGCATTTCGATTTTATACACTAAAATCAAGGCGAGAGGGAAGCGGTGAAGATTGGAAAAGGTAAATGAATGCGACAAGGCATAGCTGAGCTGACGCCGTCCTGTCATTCTGGAATAAACTGTGCTTTTAATTTACAGCCACATTCGCCAGAAATCATTTCCTCACTGTCTACTTTGGCTCAACCCAAAAAATTCCATTTGATCATTATATCACTATCAGCTTTAGAGTGCTTCAGAAAGCGATGTTAGCAGCAGCTGTCTTGTATAACAGAGGGATACAATCTAAAGTGAATAAGGTTTTATTCTAAGAGACGTGATCTGTGCTAGATGCTTGCTGCTGGACAGACACATTCCATTGCTTACTTTCTTCTACTTTCTAGAGAATACCTTTATTGTCCTTCATACGTTCGACGCTCAGACTTGTATAAAGCCGTGAGAACAAGTTTCAAGTAGGGCAGCCAAACGTCGATGAGTTGGGCCCTCTCTTTTGAACGTAATGTTTCATTTAGTTGATAATAGAGACTTCGATGCCTCGACTTCCATTGCATAGTATATAAGCAAATAGCAGCAGCTTCATCTTCTGTTAAACTATCGCTTCGTTCTTGACAGTTTTCTTTTGCCATCCAAACTCGTCTTGGTAAATCATCAATCAGATCCGAGAGTGATTCGACAGACTTTTCTAATGACAACAACGGTAACTTCTGATAACCTTCGATTGGATCAAACAGTCTCATGGGTTCACCATCGATATCAGAATAACGTTGTTTCGTATTCATGTCACATCGTTCACTTAATGATGTTGCCATGATTGATGTTGAAAATATACTTTTTTTTGGATAATGAAGCGAGATTAAAAGTGCTTCATGCGTTATAAATTCAAACAAAAACGTTTCTTAATAGAATATGTGTGCGAGTTTATAAAGCAAAACAACTTTTCTTTTCTTTTCGCTTCTATTACTTGAAATCTTCAACGTGAGTAAGAGAAATTGATCAAGTAACACAACAGTGAACGACTAATATTGCTGCAATGGGTGGAAACATATATAAGTTTGTAGTTTTACTAGATAGTTTGTCGGTTAACTGTAGTGGTAAAACTGTAATAATATCTTTGTAAGTGTAAAACTGTAACATTGACAGTTTTAGTTTTATAGTTAATTGTAACTGGTGTTTGACTAATGCTAAGTATTCTCATAAGCCTAATTGATTTTCATCTCAGATCAGTGGATATTTTTAAATATGATGAGATTCATTCGATGGATAGTAAGCAGTTCGTCGAATGGATGGAAGAAACTGTTAGAACGTTACGAGCTGAACATGGAAAAGCTGTCAAAATTGCCATTTTAATCGCGGCACAAAAAATTAACGGCAGAATTAGAACCGCCAAAACGAGCATGGTGTAAAGGTCAAGTTGCGGATTGGTTAGCAGCCAGAAGAATTAGATTTGGGCCTTTTACGTCAAAAGCAGAGCTGTTTGAATAATTATTTGCGAATTTTTCACCTCATCGATTCATTGTTGATCAAGTAGCTCTCAAACACGATATTAGAATAGTCCGTAATAGAATGAATGGTTGTCAGCTTTAGGTCCTGAATATACTACTGGATATTTTAAACATGTCCAGAAACATGAAGAAATATTTCAGGCAGCTGATCGATTAGCAGAAGAACTCGAAAATGAACTTGTAGACTCTGATAATGAAACTTCGGCAGAATTGGACGACAAAGAAGAAGAGAATGTGTGAAAGGACTCTTAACTCAAATCATAAAACACGTTTTTATTCGTTTTTCATTATATTCCAAGCAAGATTGTGACACTCCGCCACTGAATGAAATTCTAACTACAAATAAACATTGCCACGTTCATTAGCGTATTCGAAAACCTATATGCCGATTGTTGTTATGACTATATAAACTGAAAAAGTGTCAGTTAGAGTGTCTCTGAGAGATCCGAGCCAGCTCAGAGACGCTAAAAGGTAGAAAAGTGGGGCTTGTGCGGATTTGTAGAGGAAGGTTTGGTGCTTTTCATCTGTAATAGCTTATATAATTTACCATGTCATTTTCCTTTGATATAATGGCCTAGACCTTATTTGTGTAAAATTACTATTCTTATCTCTTTTTCTTGAATGAATAAAGTTTAAATTAACTAAGGTCTGGTGGTTCAAAGCCCCTAGAGTTCGGTCCTTTGGAACCTTCCCCTTCAAAGAATGATGTGGCTTACCACCTGCAGGTGTTACACCCAATCGAATATGTATGTGTTTATGTTCTAAAGTCTTGGCTATACAATGCTGAAAACCGCAACCTATCTCATTTCTGTAAAAAAAATTATTAAGAAAACAACCAAATACACGGTGTTTTGGCGCCGATAATAGTAAAAGAGCTCATATTAGTTCTCTGAAAGATCCAAGTACAATGACTTTTAACAGCGTAAAAGGACATTCATAAAGGACAAAGGATTTCCGATACAGACACCCACGTCCTTGGAAAAACGAAAAAAGGAACACCTAAGCTCAACATTTTCGGAATGGCTTTGCGTGGGCATAGTGAAAAATTGTACGAGATTTCTCTCTGATGTTTTTCAGAAGAAGCTTTGGAAGTTTGAACAGGTTCTAAAGTTAAGTGCAAAACATTTCCGATAATCTTAGACTATTGTGCCAAAATGAATACAATTTTATTTGAAAATATAATAACATTTAGGTTGTAGAGTGTAATCAAATAATCCACCCATTTGAATTGTTTGCTATAAAGAATGGA